GACATTTCTTGCTAAAATCTGTTGTTATCTATGTACCAACTGTGTGCAAACCAGTCAATTTGAAAATAATATAGTGATGCAGTGGTTAAGATAAAAATTGTTGTCTTAGAAATGTGATTATTTGGTGTAAAATGATAAATAAGATATAGTTATTTAAGAAATAATGAACGTGTACACAGAATATTTTGTACAATTAGTTGCTGACTGAATGGTCATTGCACACCAAAGGATAAGACTTGTTTCAAATAAGGAAGTGACAATGATAATAGCTCGCTGATCCCCAAATGTTATCCTCAGGTCATGAGAGCACATTGCCACAATTAAGTGACCATGATGATAACTCACTGATCCCTCAAAGGATTCCTCAGGTTATAAGGACAGTTTGGTACAATGAAGTGACAATGAAGGATTCCTGTGGTTATGAAGCCAGTTTGGTACAATGAAGTGACAATGAAGGATTCTTCAGGTTATGAAGCCAGTTTGGTACAATGAAGTGACAATGAAGGATTCCTGTGGTTATAAGGCCAGTTTGGTACAATGAAGTGACAATGAAGGATTCCTGTGGTTATGAAGCCAGTTTGGTACAATGAAGTGACAATGAAGGATTCTTCAGGTTATGAAGCCAGTTTGGTACAATGGTTATGAAGCCAGTTTGGTACAATGAAGTGACAATGAAGGATTCCTGTGGTTATGAAGCCAGTTTGGTACAATGAAGTGACAATGAAGGATTCTTCAGGTTATGAAGCCAGTTTGGTACAATGAAGTGACAATGAAGGATTCCTGTGGTTATAAGGCCAGTTTGGTACAATGAAGTGACAATGAAGGATTCCTGTGGTTATGAAGCCAGTTTGGTACAATGAAGTGACAATGAAGGATTCCTGTGGTTATGAAGCCAGTTTGGTACAATGAAGTGACAATGAAGGATTCCTGTGGTTATGAAGCCAGTTTGGTACAATGAAGTGACAATGAAGGATTCCTGTGGTTATGAAGCCAGTTTGGTACAATGAAGTGACAATGAAGGATTCCTGTGGTTATGAAGCCAGTTTGGTACAATGAAGTGACAATGAAGGATTCCTGTGGTTATGAAGCCAGTTTGGTACAATGAAGTGACAATGAAGGATTCCTGTGGTTATGAAGCCAGTTTGGTACAATGAAGTGACAATGAAGGATTCCTGTGGTTATGAAGCCAGTTTGGTACAATGAAGTGACAATGAAGGATTCCTGTGGTTATGACGCCAGTTTGGTACAATGAAGTGACAATGAAGGATTCCTGTGGTTATGAAGCCAGTTTGGTACAATGAAGTGACAATGAAGGATTCCTGTGGTTATGAAGCCAGTTTGGTACAATGAAGTGACAATGAAGGATTCTTCAGGTTATGAAGCCAGTTTGGTACAATGAAGTGACAATGAAGGATTCTTCAGGTTATGAAGCCAGTTTGGTACAATGAAGTGACAATGAAGGATTCCTGTGGTTATGAAGCCAGTTTGGTACAATGAAGTGACAATGAAGGATTCCTGTGGTTATGAAGCCAGTTTGGTACAATGAAGTGACAATGAAGGATTCTTCAGGTTATGAAGCCAGTTTGGTACAATGAAGTGACAATGAAGGATTCCTGTGGTTATGAAGCCAGTTTGGTACAATGAAGTGACAATGAAGGATTCCTGTGGTTATGAAGCCAGTTTGGTACAATGAAGTGACAATGAAGGATTCCTGTGGTTATGAAGCCAGTTTGGTACAATGAAGTGACAATGAAGGATTCCTGTGGTTATGAAGCCAGTTTGGTACAATGAAGTGACAATGAAGGATTCCTGTGGTTATGAAGCCAGTTTGGTACAATGAAGTGACAATGAAGGATTCTTCAGGTTATGAAGCCAGTTTGGTACAATGAAGTGACAATGAAGGATTCCTGTGGTTATGATGGCCAGTTTGTTACAATGAAGTGACAATGAAGGATTCCTGTGGTTATGAAGCCAGTTTGGTACAATGAAGTGACAATGAAGGATTCCTGTGGTTATGAAGCCAGTTTGGTACAATGAAGTGACAATGAAGGATTCCTGTGGTTATGAAGCCAGTTTGGTACAATGAAGTGACAATGAAGGATTCCTGTGGTTATGAAGCCAGTTTGGTACAATGAAGTGACAATGAAGGATTCCTGTGGTTATGAAGCCAGTTTGGTACAATGAAGTGACAATGAAGGATTCTTCAGGTTATGAAGCCAGTTTGGTACAATGAAGTGACAATGAAGGATTCCTGTGGTTATAAAGCCAGTTTGGTACAATGAAGTGACAATGAAGGATTCCTGTGGTTATGAAGCCAGTTTGGTACAATGAAGTGACAATGAAGGATATCCTGTGGTTATGAAGCCAGTTTGGTACAATGAAGTGACAATGAAGGATTCCTGTGGTTATGAAGCCAGTTTGGTACAATGAAGTGACAATGAAGGATTCCTGTGGTTATAAGGCCAGTTTGGTACAATGAAGTGACAATGAAGGATTCCTGTGGTTATGAAGCCAGTTTGGTACAATGAAGTGACAATGAAGGATTCCTGTGGTTATGAAGCCAGTTTGGTACAATGAAGTGACAATGAAGGATTCCTGTGGTTATGAAGCCAGTTTGGTACAATGAAGTGACAATGAAGGATTCCTGTGGTTATGAAGCCAGTTTGGTACAATGAAGTGACAATGAAGGATTCCTGTGGTTATGAAGCCAGTTTGGTACAATGAAGTGACAATGAAGGATTCCTGTGGTTATGAAGCCAGTTTGGTACAATGAAGTGACAATGAAGGATTCCTGTGGTTATGAAGCCAGTTTGGTACAATGAAGTGACAATGAAGGATTCCTGTGGTTATGAAGCCAGTTTGGTACAATGAAGTGACAATGAAGGATTCCTGTGGTTATGAAGCCAGTTTGGTACAATGAAGTGACAATGAAGGATTCTTCAGGTTATGAAGCCAGTTTGGTACAATGAAGTGACAATGAAGGATTCCTGTGGTTATGAAGCCAGTTTGGTACAATGAAGTGACAATGAAGGATTCCTGTGGTTATGAAGCCAGTTTGGTACAATGAAGTGACAATGAAGGATTCCTGTGGTTATGAAGCCAGTTTGGTACAATGAAGTGACAATGAAGGATTCCTGTGGTTATAAGGCCAGTTTGGTACAATGAAGTGACAATGAAGGATTCTTCAGATCATAACATCACCTACCATGGACAACTCAGTTTAACTTATTATCATAGTAATCCTGAAGTTGGAATAGTTCCAAACTTTTGACAACCTTTTGCCCTGTAAAAGTGTATTCTAGATAAAAGGTGTCTGTAATATACTATATACACAAACTTCTGTACTTAATAGGTATGCAATCTGTTGTCAAAATAGGCCTGACAGGATGTTAAAATTTTATTGAATTTATTTAGATTTTTTCCATGTTGTGCACAATTACCAGATGCTGTTAGAATTTATTGTTGGTTTCTCTAAAATCTATTTGATCTATAAGGAGACAAAATCACCTTTAATTGATATTCAAATATACACCTAAAGGCTTTTAAGAAAAGTTTTAATTGTAAGGCCTAGATGAATAACATATGTGGAGAATTAGAAGTGGTCAAAGTTTGTGTCCCAATCTGAATTACTGAAGTTTGTGTCCCAAGAAAAAGGTTTGGATCAAAATGTAAAAGATGAAGTTTGTGTCCAAGAAAAAGTTTGTGTCCAAGTTGAATGGTGAAGTTTGTGACCAAATGTAATGTCTGAAGTGAATGTCCTGTGGAATTCCAATCCAAACTTCTCAATAGAGAATCCAACCCAATCTGAGGTTACCTAAAGAAAAGGACATCCAATCACAGCTTCTCAATAGAGAATCAAACCCAATCACAGGTTATCTAAGTAAAATGACACCCAATCACATGTTACCTAAAGAAAAGGACATCCAATCACAGGTTATCTAAAGAAAAGGACATCCAATCACATGTTATCTAAAGAAAAGGACATCCAATCACAAAAGGACATCCAATCACAGGTTATCTAAAGAAAAGGACATCCAATCACAGGTTATCTAAATAAAATGACACCCAATCACATGTTATCTAAAGAAAAGGACATCCAATCACAGGTTATCTAAATAAAATGACACCCAATCACATGTTACCTAAAGAAAAGGACATCCAATCACAGGTTATCTAAATAAAATGACACCCAATCACATGTTATCTAAAGAAAAGGACATCCAATCACAGGTTATCTAAATAAAATGACACCCAATCACATGTTATCTAAAGAAAAGGACATCCAATCACAGGTTATCTAAATAAAATGACACCCAATCACATGTTACCTAAAGAAAAGGACATCCAATCACAGGTTATCTAAAGAAAAGGACATCCAATCACATGTTACCTAAAGAAAAGGACATCCAATCACAGGTTATCTAAAGAAAAGGACATCCAATCACAGGTTATCTAAATAAAATGACACCCAATCACATGTTATCTAAAGAAAAGGACATCCAATCACAGGTTATCTAAATAAAATGACACCCAATCACATGTTACCTAAAGAAAAGGACATCCAATCACAGGTTATCTAAATAAAATGACACCCAATCACATGTTATCTAAAGAAAAGGACATCCAATCACAGGTTATCTAAATAAAATGACACCCAATCACATGTCATCTAAAGAAAAGGACATCCAATCACAGGTTATCTAAATAAAATGACACCCAATCACATGTTACCTAAAGAAAAGGACATCCAATCACATCTCCACAAGGCACGATTAAGTTAGTTCTCATGTTTTATGATTGATGAAAGGGACAAGAGCTTAGTTATGTGATGTCCAGAATGTTTATAATGAACCCTTGGCAGGAGACTTGTCTCCCAACTTACATACTGCTGTTACGTATCTAATATCTATCAATTGTACTCTTCACTTTTCACTTGTTTTCTATCACCATGCTTTACTCATCTGTTGTTCATAAAAGTTGTTATTTTTGTTCATCAGCAGGTAGACACCGTCCCGGTGAGGGATAATCCTGACGGTGACATGCAGGGTTACTTCAACAGCACTCCCCTGATTGTCCCCCGTCACTCGCCCATGCGGGGGTCATGGCAAGACTCCAAGGTCACAGTCTTCCCTGATAATGACAGTGGATTCAGGTAGGTCAATTACTATCCTTTCACAAATAATGTTTGGGAGGGGATATAGAGGTGTTACTGTGTGTAACATATATATATTGGTACAATGAAATTCTGCATCTGTGCTGTAATGGCTTCTTTCCTTTCCTTGAGGAGTTTGATCAAGCATCACAACTTCTAAATGACCATGACATCTAGGACAAGTTTGAATTTGAAGGTTATAGGGTGAAGGTCAAGGTCACTGTTACTTTGGCTAGTATACTAGTGGCTTCATTTCATGAGGGATTTCAGTCTAACTTAACATTCACACAAGTGACAATGATTTCAATGAAGAAAAGTTTCATAATTTTAGGATCATTGTCAACGTCACCATTAGTTACTATTTTAGAAAATCATTGTCAATACTCTAATGACTTCATTCCTCAAGGGATTTTGATCAAACTACACATACTTAGCTGTCTTCTTTGTTGTTCTTTAATCAAGATGAAATCATGAGGGGATTTATATTGTTCACAATGCCTTGCTAATTTGACCTTAGGTTGGTGTGTTTTAAAGTTGAATACATCCAATGTACTGAACATCTCTCTGTAAAATGTGAAAGTGTCTGTTTTTCCATTCTGATCAAGGTGGGAAATGCTGATGCAATTTTTTTATGAATTTCCTCCAAAAGAACGTCTTAGTAGCATGTTGAATATTACATATACAAATTAAAGACAGATGACTATAGACAATGAAAAAATCATAAAATAACAAGTTATGATAGGAGTATTATATTTGGAACTTCTGAATATACAATGTTTTATTTGTTTACAGTTCCATGAAAAGATCATTCAACTCAGGAGACGACATGGCACTCACACCTCGGTTCAGCTCTGGTCCAATGGTTCGGTCACAGTCAATGAACAGACTCAATGGCTCCTTTATGTCACAGGATTTAACTCCCCTTTCTAGTCACTATAGCCCCACCTTGGACAGATCCCTTCAGACGATGAGTAATTCTCTAGAGGACAGTGAGAATAGAAGATGTGTACTGATGCATAAACTTAAGGAGGCTCAAGACACATTAGAGGTAAGCTGATGTCTTTACGTATCAATTATTTACTCTCTGATGTGTCTTGTTACTTCAGAAATAACGTATTATCTGAATCTGATTGTAACAGAGGTCATTTCTCATCCCAATGCCTCCGCTAGGAATCGAACCCGGGACCCCAGGCTTACTAGTCTGACACTCAACCAATCGAGCTAAAGAGAAGTTCTCTCTAGCCGAGTGGTACATTGCGGCTAGTAGTTTACCAGGGTTACATGACCCTCCGACTTTTATACGACAAAATTACAACAGTCTTGCCTATTTCTAGATACTGAATGAGAAGTTTTGCAAAATAGATATTTCTATTGATTGTATAACAGGAGTGGAAAAATGTACTGCCAGACTGGGGTTCCAACCCTGGACTTCTGAATTCTAGACAGATGCTCGACCTACTTAGCTAACTAGTCGCTGATAATCAACCCAGTTCTGATACAATTGAAATGAACTTTAAAACATATTTATTCACTGAATCAGAGTTTGTTAGCTATTCAATGGTATGAACACAATGTTGTATGAATTGAATTGTTTATTTGGTCGACAAAGTAGTAAAAGGTTTTAAAGAAGGAATTTTGATAATCGCTCCAATTTTATTCGTCAATACTTTAGTAAAAGATCATATTTTCATAAATGAATAAAACAGTTGCTGTGTCATTTGTTTCAGCTTCAAAGTGAGAGACTAGGAAAAATAGAGAACTCTGCAAAAGGAAACACAATCTTAGTGGAGGACCTGAAGTTTAAAGAAATGGAATATAGAAAAAAGATAAAAATGTTAGAAGAAGCAGAACAAGATAAAGATATACTCAGGATGGAAAACATTAGACTCCGACAAGAAATGCAGGACAGGTATTAAATTCAACTCATGTAATTGTCAGCTACTTAGTTTACCTGTTAGTAAATGTTCACGGACTCACCATAATGCTGATGTTTTTTATATCCCCCCTCCCCCACCTCTTTTCATGCCTTTATGTTTAGCTAATATGTACATTAAATGCACTTCAGGTTAGCTTGTCAAGTGGTAAGAGAGAGTCAATAAGTATCATTCCTGTGTTCAGGTTAGGATATTTCAGGAGATAGCACTTTAAAGTGACCCCTGAGTAGTCCTTCCATATCGGTGATGAATAGACACTATCTTGATAGGAGAATTACTGATATGAAAAATACATTTCACTCTGCAGTCTGGCTGTGTCAAATTTGCCCAATAACATCATGATCTGTCTTCAGTGATTGAAATGATTTGCAAAATCTGTTTCTACAATAGGTTGGCTTAAGTCAATGTGGAGTTAGTATTTTATTATTGGGATGAGTCTATTAACTTGCCTAAACTATCTGAACATCTAATACTGATTAGGTCTGTGATTGTGAATTTTTGCATTGAATTTATTTATGGAAAAAAAAAGTGAACCAGAAATTTTCGCAAAATCTTAAAAAGGATGAACAACTACAGCACTGACACACATAATTCATTTGCAGCCAACAAATATTATACAGTTGTCCTGTCAAAATTCCAGTATTTGAAAATCAAAAGAAAATTTTAGATGAAATGCATAGGAAAGACCTTCGATTAAAAAAAATGATAAAGTTATTCGAAATATTTCTGTAAAAACAGTTTCATCAGAGGAAAGTATTGTATATGTTACAGAATAGACAAGTTAGATTTTGCCCTGCGGTCATTACAAGCCCAGCACATGGTGGCCGAGACAGATAATCAGAAAAGGATAAACCTTCTGGACCAGTCTACCAAAGCACTCACTATGTTAGAGTCAGAAAACCAAAAACTCCAGCAGGTAGGGCCACATTGATACCTACACTCTGTAATAATTGATGCTCCAGAAGTGTTAATTTTCTGTAACAAAGTAAAAAATTAATTTGTTGATGTTTGAATACAGTAATGTGTGAAAAAGATGACATTCGTTAAGCTTTATATAGTCAAGCATTTTGAAGAACTTTGAAAATTTTAATTTGAATAGTCAGAACCAGGAAAATTGTATCTTGAAGTGTCAAAACCAAGGAAATTGTATCTCCAAAGTGTGTAAACCATGAAAGTTCTTGAACTTGAAATCAGTCGTATGTATGTGATAATTTGTGTACTTTATTTGTAACACATTACATGATGTGTAACATGAATTTGAAAGTATGTACTATATGTATGATTTGTACAGGATAAAGAGACACTATCACGAGAATTAGGTGTTACTAAAGAAAGCATGAGACTAGCCAAGGACAGGTTTGAACCACTGGAGGAGGATAACAAAAATCTAAGGACAGAAATTCTCAGACTCAAGGAGGTAATGTCTTAATAATATGCATATATATGGCCTTGGGTACTGGGAAATATCGGTTCATACAAAAATGGCATAGGTTAATACAAGGATGGCATTTTTTATTACAAGGATGGCATTTACTAAATACAAAGATGGCAAAGGTTAATATAAGGATACATCACAGTTAGGGGGATGTACTTGAATGGATGTACATGGGTCAAGTTGCATGATGTGATGTGCCATGTACCTAAAGTAGGTCATTTTGACCTACATTTTGACCCTCAGCCTGAGCAGAAAATGAACGATGCCATGGATTCAGTTTAGTGATATTGCCTCTTAGATTTGGGGATAATACTTATTTGTCTGGTGTAATATCTAGCACACAATGAACTCAACCTTGTGTGTTAGCACCACCAACAAAATAATCAAATGAGTTTTCTCTTTATTTTGTAAAGAGAAGATTATAGTCAAATTGTTCATATTCTATAGGAGAATGCTGACCTCACAAGGAAACTAGCTGAGCTGACAGGTCAGTTGACAGAACTCAGGGCACTGACCAACTCAATGAAGGAGGAAAATGAAAAACTGGCTTCTTCATGGAAATCTTTAGCTGATGTAAGTACAACTGTACTTAGTACTCAAAGGATTTAGTGTCTAATCACATAAATCAACTAATTAAAGTAAATAACATTCTGTACAAGGAGATTTGTCTTCATTACATTCTATGTATAGAGGTTTGCTATACATTGGGATAATGAAAAGTAATTGACTCCTGCCTCTTCCTGTCTCACGAAACAAACCAGTTGATACTGAGTGTATTTTGAGCACATGACAAAAAACCAGTGATACACATTTAAGATATAAAGTGCAACAGCCAAAGTACTTATTGAATAGATGTATGGTTCTCTGTGGAGACAACAGGGATATAGACATCCATAGAATTGTTACATTCCCTCATCCTACACCTTTCTCTGTAGGAGAAACAAACAATGATGAAGAAGATGGACAATCACAAGGTCAAAGCCACAGACATGCAGGCTAAGGCCTCTAGTGCCATTGTGGAAAAAGACAGACTCTTCCAGGAAAAGATGGACCTCAATAACAAATTCCAACAACTCATCGTCAACAAGGAGCAGTTAGATCGGGTCAGTATGGTACTGAATATCACACGTAATCGACCAAGTCTGTCATGATTGTCTGTCGGTTAAAACATATTGGTGAAGTATTGCTTGAGGTTCCCGGTCAGAAATGTTTTAAACTACCTGAAAGTTAAAGGTTTCAGACCAATAGTGTTATATTGTGAAATGCTCTATAGGTTTCAGATTGGTGATGGCTTATAAAGCTAACTGACTCTGTTGATGATTTCAGGCCAATAGTGTTATGCAGGAACAGATAAATGACCTTCAGGATGAAGTTGAGAAGGTCAAGAAAGTCGCAAAGAACAAGGACATGGAGAAAAATGCCATGGAGGATGCTCTTCATGAAATGAAACAGGTAAAACTCATGAGCTGTTTAAAGATAAAAAAAAAAAACAAGAAAAATCAATTAATGTACAATAAAGGTTAACCTCATGAGCTGTTTAACAATCCTCCTGCATTCTTCTGATTACCTGTGATTTATTATCTGCGGTGATTTGATTTCCTAGGTGAACCAAGAAATAACATCAGACCTGGCCTCAGTAAAAGCTTACTACGAGCGAGCCCTCGAACAAATCAGTGTGCTGGAAAATGGTAAAAAATTGTCTTCACAGCAACAGGACTTTGCTAACCAGGAGAAGGACCGCCTTCGGATGGAAGTGGAAAGGCTTAGCAAGGTAAACAGAGTTCGCGGCACATGCCATTAAGTATGATTTCACGGAGCGATGTGTTATTTGTACTACATAATTTTTATTTTCATTGCCCATCGATGTAGTTGTTTAATTTCACTGAAAATTACAGATGTGAGGTCCAAATGGACTAATAAGGAGTAGAGTCGGGATAGTATTAAAAATGGTCCATCTTCATGGATTCTCTTGATAAATATACACAATATGTATAGGCATGAGTGAATAGATGCATTATAATTACTCTCTTTAGTTACAGATGTACTTAATATGGTTCTGTTGAAGTAAGATTTGAAGTCCTTATATTTTATTTCCTATTCAGAGAGTACTATCCATGGAATATTACAACAAAATGGCAAGTTTTTATTTGGGTTGCACATTAATTGATTGTATTTGATGGTTCTTTAGTGTTGAAGTCTCTGATAATTTGACGAGTTTCCCCACACATTATTTTCTTCCATTTCTTACGAGGTTGGTGGTTTAATCTCCCACACCATTTGCTGGTGGTCCATTCCTGATTCCATGCTCCCTTCGACTACCTCTATTATCGAACCTCTCTCACCTTTGACTGCCGGGTCATAGACTACCCATCTAAACTCCCCCACATTCTTAACTGATGATCCCCCCAAATTCCCCCACCATTTCAACTCTTCCACATCCTTGGCAGATGGTCCTTATGACTACTCCCATCATCAAAACTTTCCCACATCCTCGGCAGATGGTCCTTCTGACAACCCCCACCACCTTTAATCTCCCACATCATATATTGATATTGAAAGTTTGTGGGATATGAAGATTCAAAAATTCAAAGTTCAGTGTCACATATCATGAGGTTCTCTGGAAAATATGTACTAGTTATCTTCATATTATATATGTTTTTGTCAGTACTTATCTCCCCTAGTCCACTTTTGTCCAGATTTCTCGTTTGGTGACTAACTGCATGGAACAAGCCAACTTGATTCTGTTTCTCAGTTTTACATTTACTTTTAATTGAAGTTTTCAAGAAAGGTCGTTTGATACCATAGAAATTAAAAATTATAATGTTAAACACATGTAATGATAAAAGAATTTTGTCATTCAATTAATTGTAACTTTAATTAAGACTTTTCTTTATGCACAGTTGATCCAAGATGTGGTAAATTTCTTAGTTTCTGAGGTTTTATTGTTGGGTTTATATTTTGTGGGAAAATGCCTCTAACATTATTGTGTTAATTGTTGGATGTGATGTGTGTTGACTGTGGATTTTTGTACGGTAGTTTGTTCAGAAACCTGCAGAAGGTCAGTTGGTAAGTATGTAGTGGAGGGACACAATATGGCAGTGGCTTGATTATATGCTATTAAAATTGTCGCTTTTATCAATGTATCATTAAATCTTGTGTAAGCTGCACTGTATTTTTGGGATTGAAAACATTTGTATTCATGTATTACAAGCCTCTGGTTCCTTTATTATGATACTGGTGCCCTGTAGCAATTGGCTTACTTTATATTTACTGATGTTGACAGAACAGATCTTGTCTAAAAATATGCTTATGAAGATTCTTTTTTTAAGAACTTACCAGTATAAACTTTTTTGCTTAATTGTAACATGTCTCTGATTTATTTTCATCAACAATTACGCATAATCAAAACTTATTATGCCTGTGGGTTGGATTGTAGCTGGTGAAGTGAATTGGTAACTTAAGTGTGATATTAAGTGACAAATTGACAAAAGACAAACCAAAAAGTGTCTGATGTACATGTGTTGATTAGAGAGAGAATTGATTCCCCTCTGACTAATGGTGATGGACCACCCTAACTGTTTGTAGTGTGAAGTGTTGATATAAGTTTTTAATTCCAGATTGGTCATTATGTATCACAAAAATTATTTATTAAAACGTCCATGTCTTATAAACAGCTGGTATAACACATACATGTAAAACCCTATTCTATGGGACTAACTGTTGTGGGAAGTCTCTGATGTCTGTATAACAAGTGTCCATATCCTTATATCAGGTATAAGTTAACACAGAAACTGATTTTTAAACAAAGAATTACGTAATTTTACAAAGTATGTTTTTATCATATTTAAATCTGTTAATCACACCTTCATTTAATATCTAGAGGGAGGGAGCTGCTGTGTTGATATTGTTTTTCCACAAACTGAGACGAAGAACCATATTCCCATTATCTCTGTACTGTAAACTGAAGTTATTTGTATAAATATGTTTTATTCTGTAGATGACTGATGGAAAAACAAAAGATATGAAACGTGAAAGAGAAGAATTTGATGAAACTATTCATGCTCTCAAGGTAATTATAGAAATGAGAATCAAGTTGACTGTTGATGAAGAACTGAAGCTCTCTGTATGTTACAAAAGTGGAAAAAAAACTGTTCAAGCTTTCAACGTAATTTAAGAGATGGCAAACTATTTGTGCCCTTGAGGAAATGTAAGAAATTTTATTTATTAAAACAGGAAAACTGATGAAAAGCACATAGAATACCACTCTTAGCATAGTAAATTATCATCCTATTGTCATATCCCTTCCTTGATTTCTCTATATATACATACGATCTAAAAATTAAACGACACTGGGAGGTTTATAGAGTGGATGACCTGTTGGAGATTCTCGAGAATTTGTGTGAAATTATATAAAATAAAGGTCTTTATACATACATATATGTGTTACCTGTTTGCCATTCTGTTGACTGAAATTCTCTTGAATGTTTCAGAATGAAATGAGAGAACTCCGCCATGAAAATTCACATTTCCATAACAAGAACCAAGAGTTAGAAACAGTAAGTATATCTGTTAAAACTGTTAAGTTGACCTGGATCTTTACCTGTGCTCATTGTAACACCAGAATGTTTGGCTGTAATATGTGTACATCATATCCTTTAAAGCATGCTCGGCTCCTTCTTTCTGGCATCGTTGACTTCAATGTTAAAATTCAAACTTTAATATGTTTTTGATTTTGTATGAAGTATCTGGAATTTTTCAAATAGATTATACATTCCAACAGTTATTCTGCTACAGTTAGAAAGTGCATACCATATTGATGATTCTTTGTCTTCTGACAGATAATCTTACTGGAAAGTGGGGCTAATAGCAGGGCAAGTCACTAACTGAAAAAATTCACCTTTTCATCTGTTGTATTACAAATTTTGAAGTGGTTGATCCAATTTATTCTAAAATTGTTTTGATTTGAAATTATTTTGCTTTAATTTGCTTTTCAGAATTTAGAAAAGAATCTATTTTCAAAACACTTAATTAATTCTTTGATTGCTGTTATTTAGTGTTAATTTTTTTTAAGTGAACAATTAGTCCTTCATGACATAAACATATTCTGTGAAGTTTGTTATTTTCAAAGGGTTTTGTTTTTCTCACAATTTTTGCAGGATGGCATATACTTGTGATAAAATGAAACAGTCATGAAAAAGAGTAATATACAAAAATATAGGTTTCTTTTGTGATTTCAATGAAAAACACATATTTTGCTTCAGATGTTTGGTTCATCCTTTTGAATTTGAACCATACAAAATGATAACCTTTACCGAAACACAGTTTCGCTGTCCCCTTGTTAAGTATTGTTTATATATAAATCAACCTTTTCTCTATACTCCTTTATCAATTCATTACTAGTTTTGGTGAGTTTGTGTCGATTGGAGTGCTTTGTTTAATGTTATTATTAGCTAATCAAAAGTTGTTTAAGTTGACTTTCTCCCATTTTTCTTTTGTCTTGTCATTAGACAGTTGATGATTTTCTGAATACTTCATTTTTCACTAAATACCTATAAATTTATCATCAGTGTTATGTTTTTTAGATTCATTATGAAGCATTTAGAGACTGTAAATGTTTTAGAACAAAAATCGTAAATGAGAGATTTTGACAGAGAAGACTGAGCTTTAATCAGATAACAATTTACCTCCTACCACTACAGAACGATTGTTTACAATTAAGCAATTAGATTTTTATTTTTCAATTACTGTGGAATATGTTTGTACATCACAAACATAATAAGGATACTTTCAAAGTATGTAAATGTTTCTTTTTTATCAGAAATTGCGCAAGGCTAACGAAGACATACGATCCTCGACCATGGCCACGCAGGAAGAGCTGGATACCTGGAAGGACACATGTGACCGCCTCACTGCCTCAGTCCATAAGAAGGAGTCCGAGATACAGGCCTTGATGGACCGATGTGAAGAACTGGATGATATTGTAAGTATTTATTAAACATTTTATAGATGTAGGCTGATAATGTTTAGTGGTGTTCAGTTGTTTGTTGTTAAAACGTTTAGTGGTGTTCAGTTGTTTGTTGTTAAAACTGACCTTGAAGAGTTGAAATTTTACTTTAAAGTGTGATAATCAGCTTGAAGGAAATGATGCATAGAATCTGGATACTTTAGAGGATTTCTCCGAAGTAAATTATGTTGCTAATACATAACATATTTCAATAAGATAGATCTACTTATCAGTAAGATCATGGCCATCATCATCGTCCTCATCGTCCTCATCGTCATCATTGTGCTCATCATCATCAGTAGGTGTTTAGCTTGTGTGCTATGTTGTTTGTGAGTAGACTGAATTTAGTGCTAAGTGCTATGGTGTGTTCTGCTAACAGTGTGATGCGATTGCGTGCTAATCTTTATCCCACAGGGTTCAAAGGTGAAGACAGAAAACAGAGCTCTAAAGGAGGAATGTGAGACACTGTCAGAACAACAGGAAAATGTTACAAAGTAAGTTAAGGAGTTATCTGACCTTCACTTCAAATATCATCAAACAAATTACTGATTAACAAAACTCAGTGTCAGGACATAAATATATTATGACACAATAAATACAATTGTATATGTATTATAACGCTTTATACCTGCATCTTCAATAAGAATTTGATTCATGTAAAACTGCTGGGTAGATCGAAGGACTTATATATTGATTTCCATTAAAACTGAAGCTCTTGCGTAGTCCAGGGACGTATAATGTATTATACGTCCCTGCTTAGTCATATCTAAAAAAACTGATGATTAAGCAAATCAGTGGTTTATAAAGTAACAAAAATGTGTCACTGAAATGACAACCTATTTTTGTTTGTTTTAGATTAAAAGCAGAAAACAGAAAGCTGATACAGGAGACTGCTGAGAATGAACAGATGATCAAACTATTGGAAACACAGAAGGAAGTCCTCACAAAGAGTGTAAGAGACTTGTGCCCTGTCTTCCCTCTAGACAACAGTAGCACAGCCCAAATCAGTCACAGTAGAATCCATTCATATTCTTTTGGGTGAATGGGTTACAATTTCTGAAATCACAGCTTTTCTCTTTCATTCTCACTGTGTTTGTGTGGTGGTGTTCTGGTAATGCGGTTTGACCTAACAAAGTTCAGAAATGGTATGACTATTAAATTTCAGGTGACGTTTCTGATGACATTTAAATCTCAAGCAGCCTTTAAATTCTCAAGTGACATTTAAATTGCAAGTGTCAAATATTTAAGCCTCGGATCTGAACTGATAATGAAATTTCAGGTGACCATTTCCTCATGGCCTTGATATGAAATTAGTGTCAGTAATATCCTCGGTTTATACCCAGTGAAATGTTTCACTAAAAATTAATTCTGAAATTATTACCTGGTATGTATTTTACACTAAAAAGGGAAACAGACCTATTTTGACTATGACAATACAACCTTGTTACACTGCCATCATTTTCTGGCACCTATCAGTTGAGTTTGATGGTTAACATAAATAGTGATTTACATTATCAAAAAAGGCCATTTGAACAATTTTTGCAATCACTGAGGTGAAAAGTCAGATGATAAACATTTAAGGTAATGTAGTCACAGCATGGTTATGTCTATTTCTTTTGGTTTTTTAAATTCAGGTTTCAGCATTCAGCTCCAGGGTGTAACAGGGTGTTAGGGATAGAGTGTGTGTATTGACCTTGTTTGACCTTCATTAGTTAACAATTTTTCTATATATTCCATATTGCACAAATCATTTACCCAAACAAGTTCTGTTTTGATCCTCAGCACTGTGGAAATACTGTAATATTGTCTGCTTACTGCAACAAAAACAAGATCTGTTAGAGATAATGTAAGATTGTCTGCTTACTGCATCAACAACAAGATCTGTTAGAGATAATGTAAGATTGTCTGCTTACTGCATCAACAACAAGATCTGTTAGAGATAATGTAAGATTGTCTGCTTACTGCATCAACAACAAGATCTGTTAGAGATAATGTAAGATTGTCTGCTTACTGCATCAACAACAAGATCTGTTAGAGATAATGTCATATTTTCTGCTTACTGCATCAACAACAAGATCAGTTAGAGATAATGTAAGATTGTCTGCTTACTGCATCAACAACAAGATCTGTTAGAGATAATGTAAGATTGTCTGCTTACTGGATCAACAACAAGATCTGTTAGAGATAATGTAAAATTGTCTGCTTACTGCATCAACAACAAGATCTGTTAGAGATAATGTAAGATTGTCTGCTTACTGGATCAACAACAAGATCTGTTAGAGATAATGTAAAATTGTCTGCTTACTGCATCAACAACAAGATCAGTTAGAGATAATGTAAGATTGTCTGCTTACTGCATCAACAACAAGATCTGTTAGAGATAATGTAAGATTGTCTGCTTACTGCATCAACAACAAGATCTGTTAGAGATAATGTAATATTGTCTGCTTACTGGATCAACAACAAGATCTGTTAGAGATAATGTAATATTGTCTGCTTACTGGATCAACAACAAGATCTGTTAGAGATAATGTAAGATTGTCTGCTTACTGCATCAACAACAAGATCTGTTAGAGATAATGTCATATTTTCTGCTTACTGCATCAACAACAAGATCAGTTAGAGATAATGTAAGATTGTCTGCTTACTGCATCAACAACAAGATCTGTTAGAGATAATGTAAGATTGTCTGCTTACTGGATCAACAACAAGATCTGTTAGAGATAATGTAATATTGTCTGCTTACTGGATCAACAACAAGATCTGTTAGAGATAATGTAAGATTGTCTGCTTACTGCATCAACAACAAGATCTGTTAGAGATAATGTAAGATTGTCTGCTTACTGCATCAACAACAAGATCTGTTAGAGATAATGTCATATTTTCTGCTTACTGCATCAACAACAAGATCAGTTAGAGATAATGTAAGATTGTCTGCTTACTGCATCAACAACAAGATCTGTTAGAGATAATGTAAGATTGTCTGCTTACTGGATCAACAACAAGATCTGTTAGAGATAATGTAAGATTGTCTGCTTACTGGATCAACAACAAGATCTGTTAGAGATAATGTAATATTGTCTGCTTACTGGATCAACAACAAGATCTGTTAGAGATAATGTAATATTGTCTGCTTACTGGATCAACAACAAGATCTGTTAGAGATAATGTAAGATTGTCTGCTTACTGCATCAACAACAATATCTGTTAGAGATAATGTAATATTGTCTGCTTACTGGATCAACAACAAGATCTGTTAGAGATAATGTAAGATTGTCTGCTTACTGCATCAACAACAAGATCTGTTAGAGATAATGTAAGATTGTCTGCTTACTGCATCAACAACAAGATCTGTTAGAGATAATGTAAGATTGTCTGCTTTACTGCATCAAAAAAAGAGATCTGACATTGAGTTGAAAGGTCATTTGTTCATAACCTACTTTGTTTGCTTATATATTTCACTGTTGCTCTTTTTCACTGAACAATTCAAAAATGACTTTTCAATGAACACTTCAAAAATCACTTTTCACTGAACAATTCAAAAATAAGTTTTCACTGAACACTTCAAAAATTACTTTTCACTGAACACTTCAAAAATTACTTTTCACTGAACACTTCAAAAATTACTTTTCACTGAACACTTCAAAAATTACTTTTCACTGAACACTTCAAAAGTTACTTTTTCAATAGAGGCCATCCAACCTTCAGAGGCCTCATATGGTTACCAGTAATTTATACCCACAATGATTTTCATGAAATTTCATAACATTAATGGTTTCATTACCAAAGCAAAATGAGCTAAATCTCGTCCTCAGTGGAAATAATGAACAAGAATCTGATATATACATGAATATATAAATATATATATAAAGTAGATAACACAGATAGGGCCTGACTATGGGATGTATAAACATCCCTGTTTATAGCTGACCATGATGGGATGTACAGGTCTGTTTAGACTAGACTAGGATATACAAGTCTGTTTGGACTTGACCGTAGGATGTACAAGTCTGCCTGGACTTGACTGTAGGATGTACAAGTCTGTTTAGACTTGGCTGTAGGATGTACAAGTCTGTTTAGACTTGACTATGAGATGTATAAGTCTGTTAAGACTAGACTAGGATATACAAGTCTGTTTGGACTTGACTGTAGGATGTATAAGTCTGTTTAGACTTGACTATGAGATGTACAAGCCTGTTTGGACTTGACTGTAGGATGTACAAGTCTGTTTAGACTTGACTGTAGGATGTACAAGCCTGTTTAGACTTGACTGTAGGATTGGTCTAGTTATTTCTGTGTATTTAACCTTGAAGAAGATCATGCTAATGGGTGTGCTGGGAATGGGTACCTTTACAAATATATACCTCAACAGTTTAATGATATATATATATATATATTAATCTTATTTAGTGAATATTTAAATGATTTCCTTTATTAGTAATATTTACATTATATTCTTACTGAGATGATAATTAGATGATGTACTTGTATCTACTATAGAAAAACAATGGGAGTGGTATATAGTTGTAATTGTAAAAAACATTTTTTCCTGTTCTCCACATTCATTTATAAATGTCAGCTGCTTTGTTTACAATTCAAAAGAAGCTACTGAAGCGATTTCATGTCATTTCTGATGAATGATAAGTAAAATGTATATACATTCAATTAAACTTTAATGAATTTCTTTAAAATACTAATTGAACCCCAAAATATGATGATTATGTAGTCAGTAGTTAGAGAAAAAGATTGTGAATTCAATATATTGGTTACATCATCAGTTATCAGATCAAATTTTGCAAAAAAAAATCAATATAATGTCACTCCTTGTTATCCATATTTACTCCTGTTTAATCTATGATGATAACTCCAGTTCCAAATTATCTACAAGAGATTAGATGACATGCCTGGAATACTTATTGACCAATATCATACTGGTACTTAATATGACTATAATTACATTTTAAAGTTTTTAGATTTGATGTATTGTTACTGACAAACTGCAAATAAAATTTAATAAATTTTTTTTATGTTTGGGAATATCTTGTTTTATTTTTAAAATTCCGTTTTCCTTTTACAGAGTAAGGCCAAAATGTTTTTGGAATTCTATAGGTGAAATCTGTCCATCTGTCTCAAGCTTTTGACTCCAGCATTCCCTCTTCTGTTTCTGTTACTTCATATTTTACCACCTTCTTGTCTAGTTTTTGTTGGGTAACTGTACCCATCCTCACTTTTGGATCTTTTTATCAGCATCCATTCTTTTGTGGCTGAGCCATATTCTGTTGTGGTACTGCGTATTCTGATGTGCTGTGGAAGAACCACTTCCTGTTGTGATTTAAACCACTTCTTGTTATCCCATGTGCAGCAATATTGAGTGAACAATTTTCTGTTATAATTTCACTGTAATGAATCAGCCACTTCCTTCCTGTTGTCCAGGTGCTCAGGAATCAACACCTTCCTGCTATTGTTTATTGATGGATGAACCACTTAATGTTGTAATTCAACCCAGTCCAGTCCCTGTTGTCCAGTTGCTGGAATGGATGAAACAATTCCTTTTGTAATTATCCTACTGTAGATCAGTTACTTCCTTTTATCAGATTGATATGGTGTGGAAGAAATCTAACGTCATAGCTGAATAAGGAGCCACTTCCTGTTATCAGTTTTGTGAGAATAAGTGACTTCCTGTCATCAGTTTTGTTATGAGTAAATTGCTTCCTGTCATCAGTTTTGTTATGAGTAAATTACTTCCTGTCATCAGTTTTGTTAGGAGTAAATTACTTCCTGTCATCAGTTTTGTTATGAGTAAATTACTTCCTGTCATCAGTTTTGTTAGGAGTAAATTACTTCCTGTCATCAGTTTTGTTAGGAGTAAATCACTTCCTGTCATCAGTTTTGTTAGGAGTAAGTCACTTCCTGTCATCAGTTTTGTTAGGAGTAAATCACTTCCTGTCATCAGTTTGTTTGCAGTGTATCACTTCCTGTCATCAGTTTTGTTAGGAGTAAATCACTTCCTGTCATTAGTTTTGTTAGGAGTAAATCACTTCCTGTCATCAGTTTTGTTAGGAGTAAATCACTTCCTGTTATTAGTTCTAAATCTGTTAGGAGTAAATGTTTTCCTAATATCTGTTAGGATCCAATTCCTGTTAGCAGCTTAGTGTAAAAAAATCTGTTGATAACCAGCTGTGTTTGTTAATTGTAATGAAACTTGAAACATTTTTGAAATCCATAAAAAGCTGTGAAATAAAGAGAGATAATATGCCTTATATCAACATAGGCTCATAATTCAAAAATGATTTTTTTTAAATGCCAATGGCTAGGAAACTGTAGAAATATGACAAGAATGTGTTCAATGTCACTTAATTAGCAGGGTCTCTATTCCCCCATATTGATGTATCACTTACTGGAGGTTCCACACGGGGGTATTGTCCATTTAATTTATGGATAACATATGTTTGGATATTGTGACTTTGGCTTATCATCACCATGCATTAGGCTATCTGTAAACTTTCATGATGAAAGATTTTGTCTCGATTAAATATATGTAAATGATATTAATATATTGAATATTGAAATGTAATTAGAACCAAATATCAAAATTTACAAATTTTATTTCATAAATTCATGTGAAATTTTCCCATTTGGTGCCCATATCACTTTTCAATATTGATACAGAATGTTTGATACCTAAATGGTATTTTGAGAAGATTACATGGCCTTTTAAACACCAATTAATTCTGCTTTGATAAGCACGAAATTGTACACAATATTGGTACATTGATACCCTTGGCTCTTCTTCATGGTATTATGAGGGTGTAGAGGGGAGAGAAGTTACCCGATATCATATTACTGAAATCAGTTATTTAAACTACAAGGTAACTGCTTAGTTACAAGTGTAGTTATTTCTTGATTTTGTGTGTGTGAGTGTGTATTTTTGAAAGGTAACAGATTTTTGTAAGGATAGTGGACATTTAAATACAATTTTTTTTTTTTTTCTTATTTTTTTTTTTTGACATGTTAAATGTACCAGAAATACTGATATACTAATAGGTACAATTAGGCAGGTAGTTCAGGAGATTAAATTGACCTTTTTACCATTTAACATTTTTTTCGTGTCAATAATTATATATGAAATCAGGAAAGTGTGTAGAAATATCTTTGACAACTTGTGTTGGTGATAGTATGAAAGTAACATAATTTAAAATGTTCTGTTCATTTTTAATGAAGTGAAACATAACTATGAAGCTATCATATATTTGTGATTTTTCTGTTTTAAGTTGTATGCAAAATTTGATGTACATGTGCAGCGTCCATCTTTCATTTTACTTTTTATTGATTTGATTTTTTAATATTCTTACTTTGTAATATGGTCTCATTACATTTGTTAGTGGCAGACAATATACATTGCTGCTGTGATTCAGTAACGAAGCTTACTGGAGTCTGTCACTGTTATAGATTTCAGAAATTGATCATGTCTGATCAGAATTGACAATAACATGTTTTGGTGGAAACTGTATCAGGCAGATCCTGTTACTTAAGGCCTGTTAAAACGTGTCTCACCCATAATGAGCCCCATTGACTATTGAATATTGACTTTGGGCCTGATCTCTTCTCCTTAAGATATAATGAAAACAATAAATCACCACTGTTTCATTAGGTAGGCTACTTTCTCTGTAGTCTATATATTGACATTGTAACCAGTCTGTAGATCTGTGTTTACCTTTACAGGTGTCAAATGTGTGTTAAAGTTCGTAAATCAAGTACTTAATGAAACTCCTTCTCTTTAACAGAATATCTTTCTGCTGTTAATGACTCATTCATTGCATGTAGCTTTGTCTTTCAAGGAAAATTGCAAGTCATACAAAAATTAAATGTCTCATTTAAATGTATGTCTCTAGATAATTGTTTTATACAAGGAGAAGGTCAAAATTTAGATTTTATGTTTTCCACAACCTTCAGTCTGTGACCAGCATGGTACATGTTTTAAAATACTAATTTATCCAATAAATAATTATGCTGTATTTATGTAAGATATGTAACTCAGTAGAATAGGAATCAACAGTACATGTTTGTTCTCTGTTTATATATTTCAGTCAGAAAACAGTTTAGCCAAGCTTCATGATATTGATCAACTTACAGGCAAAGTGGAACAACTAAGAAATGAGAATGAACATTTCAGGTATAGCCTTGTCACATATTACAAGTAAACTGTACTCATACTCAATTAACTGTAAGTTTTAAATGGTTTAACCATTCTTACTTATTGACTATAAATCATTAGAACAGAACTTTGAATGTCCACTGGGTGTGTCTACAGCATATATCCAGTAATGAGCCATGTCTGGTAATAAGCCCACACATATCTATTTCTGAATACTGAAATTAAATATGCAATTTATTGTTCATTATTTGACACTTAATTCTGAATTTGTATGAAAAGTTGTTATTTACCTTTGTGTCTTTTGTACAATCTTCTGCAATATGCCCATCTCCTGACCTTGTGTTAGAAGTAGAATGGTGACCTCTTTAAGCTAATTGTTTGGAATATAGGGTCGTATGTAGGTATACCTCTTACGAAGACATTATTTATTTAACTTGGATGGGTCTTGCATCACACTTAATGGAGAATTATAGTCTTTTTCCATTTTTTATATCGGTTTTAAAGATCTTTGTTCATTTGTGATATTGGAGTTATGGGCCTTTGTTCTGTTTTGATTTTGGAGTTGTTGCTCTTTGTTCAGTTTTGATATTAGAGATCGGCCAAATGTTAAAGGATTGCTTTTTTAAAATGTTGATATTGTTGCTTTCAGAGACAGAGTTTTGGAACTTGAAAAAGTACGAGACAACCTAATTAGCCAAAAGGAAGAACTACTGGTATGATATATATGTAGAACTGCTGCTTTGTAGACGTGCTATAAAAATAATGTACAAATGTATTAATTAGATTTTATTTGCTACAATGTTAATTACTGCGGTTTTGTGGCTGTTCTGTTTATATTATCGTACATGCCAACTTTAACACCAATGATCTGATTCTTGATTTTATTTTTCCCTGGCTGAAAAAAAACATCATTCAGTTTGGAAAAATTCAGCCTTTTTAGCCTTAATCTGATGATTATTTCTCAATTTCTTTAAAACAAAAAGGCAAGTACTGAGTTGATATACAAAAAGCCTCGACTGGAAGACCTTGAGAACAAGGTCGAAGAGCTGCAGCAAGCTAACAGACAACTAAGGGAAATGAATGAGTCAATGAACAATCAGTTTGAAACTATTGAACAGGTATGGTATTGGTATTCTTTAGTTGTATATCTGGATATTGTTCATCATACTCTGTGTATATTCTGGTTGTTGTGGAATATTTTCCTGGACACTGATAGTAAGCAATGTAAAATAGATATATAAATCTATCACCTGTCCATAGACAGTTGTGAATCAATGGATTATTTACAAACATGCAAATAAGGATAAATATGCCTGTGCAAATACCATTCCTTTATCGAAAAACATGAACATGTTATATCTCTGACCTGACAACTGATATCCTGTTTTAAATATTGTACATGTATTTGTGTATGTGATGTCTCCTGTCATACAATAATGTTATGTGATGTGATACAAAGGACTAAGTATTCATACAAACTCTGTATTACAAACCTGTTGTGGGTTTACTGTTGTGTTAACTGTATCTGTTGTCTCTGTTGGTTGTGTGTCTGAGTGTGTTTTATTTGTTACAGACAACAGTAGCCACTAACATGGCTAGTCTAAAACAACGGCCATACATTCCTACCAAGGGTACGAACCCATTGTATGGTTCTGTATCTGAAGAATTCATTGTACCTGTAAGAAATTGCACAAAACAGAAACAAATATAGTAATGTAGTTTGGAAGTTCTAGTATGTATGATATCCCTTAGTCGCAATTAATTTGCCTTTTTATCAGACATGTAAAGTAGAAGGTTTCTGTCGGTGTAATTTAGTTGTCAGTTAGATTAGAAATGCTTTTTTAAGTTAAGATTAGATTCTTATTATGATTTTAATGGTTTTTAATGGACTTAATGTTTGTTGATTTCAGTCTGTCAGAATGTTTGTTGATTTCAGTCTGTCAGAATGTTTGTTGATTTCAGTCTGTCAGAATGTTTGTTGATTTCAGTCTGTCAGAATGTTTGTTGATTTCAGTCTGTCAGAATGTTTGTAGATTTCAGTCTGTCAGAATGTTTGTTGATTTCAGTCTGTCAGAATGTTTGTTGATTTCAGTCTGTCAGAATGTTTGTAGATTTCAGTCTGTCAGAATGTTTGTAGATTTCAGTCTGTCAGAATGTTTGTTGATTTCAGTCTGTCAGAATGTTTGTTGATTTCAGTCTGTCAGAATGTTTGTTGATTTCAGTCTGTCAGAATGTTAATGTTAAAATACATGCATTTTTTGGGCTTTCTATATATCAATCAAAGGAAACACATTGTCTCAGCAAATGAAAGTTCCTGATGGTTATTGATGCGGTCATGCTTGTTCATTGATGAAATATTTGAGGGATAACATTAAGGTATTCGATGTTACTGGGATTATTCTTGAAATCTGTGCTTGGTTTCATACTGGTGAATATTGGTTGCTGAGACAATGTGTTTATCTTCACCATTCCCCATATATACAACGGTGATGTATACCATATAATTGCCTTATGTAGTCCTGTACCTTGTCACAGATCCCCCTCACGCATACTGAGTTGTCCCCCTTGTCACTCGCACCTGTGATGCACATGCACTGTGACGTGAGTAGCCAGACAAATATTACCATCTGTACTCTATGTCATGTATCAAAATTTCTACCATATATGCGATGTGTATTCTTAATTTATGATAATATATATGTTATCTTTATCCTCATATTTTCATTACATCTTCTCTAACATTTACCATTATTCAGAAGTGTTTTAAATATCTAGTAATTTCCAGATATATCCTTATCCTGTCATTTCCAATCATTAAGTGCCAAGATGATCATGATCCTTTTCTCATCAATTTAGTTCAGAATGACTGATTTACTTCAAGTCATTTCAGGGTCAAGGTGAAAAGCAGTATTTAACAAATTAAGGTTGATATCAAGAACAGGGATATTATGCTTATATCAAATATATATGTGGCAAATATTCAGTCATGTTTCAAAACAAAGTTCTGGTAAATCAGTAGATTATGTTTTAATGTTACTTTCCATAAGGATCTGACTGTCTAAATGGCTTGTAGATATCCTTTCTTCATATCTTACAGCAAATTGACATAGAATTTCCTATGCCTTTACAAGGATTAATTACTTTAGGTGTTTCATGGTGACTGGTGATGGTGATACAGGTCCTTTTCTTTTTACTTCTAGGCTTTTATATACCATAAGATTTAGATATAGTTCTTCCTTAATTCATTCAAACTCAGCTAGGTTCTCAAATTCTTTTGTTTTTCTATTTCTTTACAAAATCCCTGGTTTACTTCCTGTTAAAATGCTTGTTCATGGTACAAAATGTTATATCTGTCTCCTATCTTAGCAAGTTATATATATGTATAAAATTACTTTTGATAATTGTTTTGATGATTGTGACAATTTTCAGGAGGTCATTTAATATAGAGAACTGGTAGGTTTAGTATACAGAACTCTCTTACTGTAGAGAGTGTGTCTGACCAGAGTGTGTCTGACCAGTATACAGAACTCTCTTACTGTAGAGAGTGTGTCTGACCAGTATACAGGAACTCTCTTACTGTAGAGAGTGTGTCTGACCAGTATACATGAACTCTCTTACTGTAGAGAGTGTGTCTGACCAGTATACATGAACTCTCTTACTGTAGAGAGTGTGTCTGACCAGTATACATGAACTCTCTTACTGTAGAGAGTGTGTCTGACCAGTATACATGAACTCTCTTACTGTAGAGAGTGTGTCTGACCAGTATACAGGAACTCTCTTACTGTAGAGAGTGTGTCTGACCAGTATACATGAACTCTCTTACTGTAGAGAGTGTGTCTGACCAGTATACAGGAACTCTCTTACTGTAGAGTGTGTCTGACCAGTATACAGAACTCTCTTACTGTAGAGAGTGTGTCTGACCAGTATACATGAACTCTCTTACTGTAGAGAGTGTGTCTGACAAGTAAACAGGTGCTGTTTATAATGTAAAGAATTTGTCCAACTTACGGATTTAATGTGTAGGCTAGCAGATCATTCCCATGGCGATGGATTAAAAATGTAGGCTAGCAGATCATTTCCATGGCGATGAATTAAATGTGTAGGCTAGCAGATCATTTCCATGGCGATGAATTAAATTGTGTAGGCTAGCGGATCATTTCCATGACAATGGATTAAATTGTATAGGCTAGCAGATCATTTCCACGACGATGGATTAAATGTGTAGGCTAGCAGATCATTTCCATGGCGATGGATTAAATGTGTAGGCTAGCAGATCATTTCCATGAAGTCCTACTTGTCATTCGTATAATGATGTACTTCATTCATGTGGAACTCTACATAATTTTATCATGGTGGATCAGAATTATATTTCCTGTTATTTACTAATGATGCTTTTTATCATTGACATTTCAGAGGACAAGTTATCATAGCAATCTAGTATTTCAGTGTCAGACCTTGACAACTGGAAACAAAAAAAGGTTTAATTATCCACACTAAGGATACGAAGCTTCCTTTTGTTCTAGTCCATGAAAGTCTTTCATGGTAGTAAAGTAATACTAATTAAAAGTTTATGTTGAAATTATTGTCTAGGTGTTTAATCATATTTTAAATCAGAGTTCTGTTTGAAAAAGTGATGATAGTTACAGGCACATCAGGTGTTGATTTAAGCATTTCATTTTCAAATATATGATTTAAGAATAGAAGTTCTTCTAACACAACCAGTAGAAGATTAGACTGTGATATTTCAATGACTTCACAGTCACTTTATCAGACAAATGATCAATGAATCGTTCTAGCACTGACATACGTAGTGTACGAGATGGTAAGGAATCAGCTAATGTTTTCTTAGCTATACTATAATCCTATGTACACTAAGGTTAAAAAAGTGTCACAAGATGATTAACAGATTATAGACCAAAGTATACACACTTTTGTTTAACACTTGGTCATTGATGTGCAGGAGTCTGCAGGAGAAGATATTTTAATATCAGCATAGAACTTTTATTTATGAGATGTGCTGTCTTTGGAATTGTTTAATTTATTAGTTATATAATGAAAGCTTCTCTTTCTGAATTTCAGGAAAATGTGGAGCTCAAAGAAGCGGTAGGAGGAGATGGGTCTCTTGTGCCAAAAGTGGAAATGGAACGGTAGGTCATCAGACATCCATTGCTTGCTTTGGAAGGAAAAAAGCTTTTAAAATGGATCTAGCAGATCACGTTACTGACAAGAAACAGAAAATATTAATTGGGATAGGAGAACCAATGAACGATAATTGATAGGCAGTACAAGTTTAAGTCTGGAATGGTAATACCATATTTAACCTGAAATAAGTTTTAAGTGGTAGGCTTAAATAGTTCTTGCTTGTAACTTTAGTGAAGAACAATATACATTGTTGAGCTTGTTACCAGGCATGGGATTTTTACTGGATTCATTGGTGTGGTATTGGAACAGTGAAGTCAATAGAATCTAGAGACAGAGTATAGATAACAAAGAGATTCTAAATATAATGATTGAAGTTTACAGATTTATAATATAGGACAACATTAACATTAACACTTTTCAAATGTTAAGGGTCGAAGAGGAGAAGGAAAACCTCCATAGAGAAATGGAGAGAATGATGAGAGAGAACCAAGGCCTGCAGGAGAGACACGAACAATATGTCAATGACTATGGACCTGATGGACAAATTGTGCAGGATGGTAAGCCACATAGTACAACTACTGGTTTTTTAAGTATTGATTCATAGGAGCTTTTTCAGGTCATCTGACCCGAAGCAATTGTGCTTCATGTATGGGTTATACACTGTGTGCTGATGGTCGTGCTTAAACTTTTGACATTTCAAACTTTTTCTAAAGTTCCACCTGTGAGCTCAAACTTGCATGAAATAATCCTGAAATGGTCCTGACCAAGTGTGGCTTTGGCTGCCATCTTGAAAAACAATTTTAACTTGAGCTAAAATTTGATGGGAATGTTAAGGAAAGGTAACCAACAAAGTGCTGTTAATTTTCACCATTGAACATGGTTGTGCAATCATGGTTTTCCTGTGCAACATCAATTTCAAACTTCTTTTCAAAAGTTTTACCAGTGGGATTTAACTCCAACTTGTTTTCAAGAACCAAAGGCCCAGAATGCTGATATTCGGTCTGTAGCATGCAGGGATGAAGTGATGACAAATTTCTTTAACTGAATGACCTTCAGCCACTTTAAAGATTACTGGAGTCAAGTGTCTAAAATGTTAAAACAGCATCTTATTGACAAATAGGTCCAGGCTATTGGGATTGGTCTTGTAGTGTAATTGAGTAAAGGGCTACAAAATCAATTCAAGTGATTGATGTTAACCCAATTTCTAGGTCACTGAGGTCAAATGAATTTAGAATTTCTTCTTTCAATAAGCAATAGTTCTTAGGTGATGGTATTTGTGTAGTAGCACTAGGAATAGAATTTCAGATTTTCAGAAATTGACTTTATGAACCGATCAAAATAATCTTTTTAAGCTTTAGAAAAAGTGAGCAATTCAGGTCCATTGGGCCTCACTATATATAGGCCTTTATAGCCAGATGACCATTAAGGCCCATGGGCCTCTTGTTACAATCATATGTCATAAGGACATGCCATCTTGAAGCTGAGTATCTTTCTAACCAGTTAACTAAACTATTATATAAAGACAGAGTTATTGCCCTTAGTAAGTTTTGCATACCAAATCAATTTATTATAGAAATATTTAAGAAGCATTTCGATACAACAGTAAATAGAAATGAGACCAAGAAACCATTGTAGAATAAGAGCAAGAACAATGTTTCTTATTTTCTAGAAAAGGACAAGGTGCGTAAGTTGGAGCGTGAGAAAGAAGGACTAGAGAAGCAGGTGGCATTGATTAATGGATCTCTGCTGCTGGTGGAGGGCAGTAAGAAACGTCTAGATGAGGTTGTAGAGGATCTGCAGCATGAGATTGTGCACCTTAGGAAGGAGCTAGAGGAGGCAGAAAAGCAGTAAGTGGAAGGTCTCCTTTAGAGTGTGTGTAAACTGATTAAGACTGTATATCGGAGAGGAAGTCACTCGTGTTAGAATCTCTAATATCAAATCACTTCATCATATGGAAAGATAATTTTATGTCTGAATCTGGACATAGAGGGGTTACTCTTACTGATTATTATATCTGTCAAAATATCAAGTATAAGGAGGAATTCTTTCATAACAGATTTCAGTATATTTGAATATAAAATGAAGTAGGGTATATCACTCTATAATTTCTTTATTTGTCACATTATTAGTCAAAGGAGCAGAGCCTAGGTCTCTCTTTTTCTTTGGTTGTATAGTTGATATCACAATATTAGGAAGGTGAGGTCACTCTTATTACAGATTTCTGTATGTGATGTCGCATGTATATGGTAAGGGAGATAACCCTAGTGTTAAGGATTTCTTCATTTGATTTCACTGTATTAGATAGGGGTGATCAATACTGATTGGGTAAATGAATTTTAATGTAAGTGGTAGGGGAGGCCACTGTGATTTGTGATTTGTATATTCAAGTGTTTATAAGAAACTATGGAATTATCAGCTGAGAAATGGAAAGTTGATTGTATTAATGTGAATATATCTTCTCTGCAGCATTATAATGTTAGAGAGCCAAAAGGCAATGTTACGGTGAGAAATTCAAATATGTATTCAAGTGTCTGTTTTAAAACTGGTGCATGTGTTAATTAACTACCATTAGACTGGATGTAGAAGTAACAAAATTTAATGTTTTAAAGGCATGGTTCAGTTCTGTTGGCTGATTGTAAAATGTCTAATAATACTTTGATACATGCGTGGGTGACGTGTATAACTATAGGAGAATTGGCTTCATTCATTTGTTTTATTGAACTATATTTTAACTTTCCAAACACCATTGATGGATCATTTGGAATTTGGCCATGAATTAATATCTCTTCTTCTTTTGAAAATAGTAAGCAAGAAAACACACCTACATTCTAGTGCTGACAATATTTATTTCTCAAGATTATCACCTGATTCTGGCTGTGAAATGAATCATCTTTCTTAAGGTTGTTTTAAATGCCTCATGAAAACCATTCAGATGCTGCATTCTTCCAAGATTTATTGCCACCTTATTAAAAGCATCCAATTACATTAACAAATCAGAAATGACAAGGAAAGATAACTCTTTAATGACAAGATAGAATAGGCTGTTGAGGAAAGATAACTCATATACAAATAGCAGCCTTTACACAAGACTACACAATCAATGATTGGTAACTCTCAAGACCAAAGTGAAGTTTTCAAAGACAGATAATTATGAGACAAATATCACAATGTAGGCCCTTTTAGTGGAACTATTTGACAAATGTCACAATAAAGGCCCTTTTAGTTGGAACTATGACACAAACATCACAATGTAGGTCCTTTTAGTTGGAACTATGACACAAACATCACAATGTATGTTCTTTTTAGTCAGATTAACTTGGTGTAGGGTACCAGGTTGTGGATATTACAAAATGTAGATGAGAACTGGGGTAACATGGTGTAGGGCAAGCTTCCTCACCTCAGAACAATATGTAGATATATAAAAAGGACACCTGAAAGTTGTTAGTGACGCAGTGTGACTGATGATATATCCTTTATATTTACAGGCTGGTGTTAAACTTTAATCAGTGTGTTGTTTTAGCATTTTATTTCATGCTGTGTTGAGTTATACAATGTATTGTGTGGTTGTGTCTGCTATATACATTCTGTTACAGCAATCCAAAGTAAGTTTACATTATCACCATCTCTAGATTGCTAAATTATGCAGGCTTACCATTTGAATAAAAGGATTTGCATTTTTTTTTTTTTAATTACATCAGAAAAAGAAAAAAGTAATCTTTTCCAATAATTATCACAAAGACAAACAAGCAAACTTATACCCACAAATAGTCAACATAACCCCACACACAGACAATATAGGTCAACATAACCCCACACACAGACAATATAGGTCAACATAACCCCACACACAGACAATATAAGTCAACATAACCCCACACACAGACAATATAGGTCAACATAACCCCACACACAGACAATATAAGTCAACATAACCCCACACACAGACAATATAAGTCAACATAACCCCACACACAGACAATATAGGTCAACATAACCCCACACACAGACAATATAGGTCAACATAACCCCACACACAGACAATATAAGTCAACATAACTCCACACACAGACAATATAAGTCAACATAACTCCACACACAGACAATATAAGTCAACATAACTCCACACACAGACAATATAAGTCAACATAACTCCACACACAGACAATATAAGTCAACATAACTCCACACACAGACAAAATTAGTCAACATAACCCCACACACAGACAATATAGGTCAACATAACCCCACACACAGACAATATATGTCAACATAACCCCACACAAATAATATAAATGAGATGATGTTCACAAGGATTAGTACAAATGTCACAGAGGACATTATCTCTATATGATGTTTTACATGATGAACTCCTTGATCCCACCCATTTACTTAAGTTGAAAAAAGATTTTTATGAAACAATGTTATACATGTGTTCTTCGTACAACCTGTTCTTATTTTTATCATATGGGTAAGTAACACAAATATATGTTAAGTAACACAAATATATGTTAATAAATAAAGAATATAACAATATTTTGATGTTCTGTTTAATTTACAACTTAAAGGGAGATGCTGAGAGTCTGCCACGGCAGGTATTATGTGTGAACTACACATCTTTTCTATTCACTGTGATATCAACATCTTCGCCTTTCTTGACAATATCCTCTAATATTCTGAATTATCTCCCTTGAGCAATTCTAGATGAAATTGCACTGGCTGTTTTTAACATGTGTTTTGTATGAACCTTTTTTTAGGTGTGAGCACTTGTTTGCATGTTTACCCGTTTTTCTTGTTGATGCTTAAACAAATTCTAAATAACAGTGTTTTGCACATCTGGATTTAAAGAAAAAATCACATGGTAATTTTCTGTCTCGGCTCAAAGTTGTCATATGACTTGTAGAGATATCTGTATTGTTCATACTGAATCTAAATCAATGTGAAGGGAGTATATGTAAATGGTGTATTTATTATGTATTTAAATAGCTTAGAAGCCTGGAGACTATTGTGTTTAAAAACAATCTACAATTTTGTGAGTAATCAATTCACTGATTTATGTAGAAATTTGTATCATTGATTGATTTGATCAGGCTGGCTTGCTTTAATTTACAGACCTGTAGGTAGTGCAGAAATGGAACAACTACAGAGTGAGATTGACAATTTGAGGGATGTTCTATCAAAGACTCAAGCTGACAAGCTCAAACAGGAGAAAATCATTAAAGATCTCAAGGAGGTACTGTTGTCCAAAATATATATAATATTTATTCAGTTTTCATGCAGAAATTACAACAGCCATTCTCATTGGCTACTGGATTGGAAGGAAATTAAGAGAGAGTTTACTAGGGTAGATATGTTTATATTGTTGTGTTTGTTAGAGAGCAGATGATGTATTATTCTAAATCTGATGTCATGGTCTCCTTGGTGGTGCATGTATTGTCATTTGCCTCACATAACATTTGGTCTCTCGCCCAATGACTTGGTATTAATTATTTCAGAGTAGAGTTTTTGGTATGAAAATTATTGAAAATTTAGGTATGCCCCTAGTTGGTTTTGAGTGTATTTATGGAGACAGATAGTATATAATACATAAAGGTGAGGTTTTGAAATGATGAAAGAAGTTAAAGTGAGGTGAAGCAAAACAAACAATTAACAACTGTGAAGTTATAAATTGATCACGGAAAGTGGTGCAAACAAATCTACCAAACATGCCAGGTGAACATGCCTTAAGCGACTGGTGCTAATTATGTCACTTATTCTCTCAGATATGGAAGAGACTGTTAATTTTGTAAGGTGATATAACTCAAAGCTGATATAACTTTTGGAATGTACTTGACCATCACTAGCCAAAGGGTCACCTGTACCTGACCATCACTAGCCAAAGGGTCACCTGTACCTGACCATCACTAGCCAAAGGGAACACCTGTACTTGACCATCACTAGCCAAAGGGTCGCCTGTACTTGACCATCACTAGCCAAAGGGAACACCTGTACTTGACCAGCACTAGCCAAAAGGAACACCTGTACTTGACCATCACTAGTCAAAGGGAACACTGTACTTGACCATCACTAGCCAAAGGGAACACCTATACTTGACCATCACTAGGCAAAGGGTCACCTGTACTTGACCATCACTAGCCAAAGGGTCACCTGCACTTGACATCACTAGCCAAAGGGAACACCTGTACTTGACCATCACTAGCCAAAGGGTCGCCTGCACTTGACCATCACTAGCCAAAGGGTCGCCTGTACTTGACCATCACTAGCCAAAGGGAACACCTGTACTTGACCAGCACTAGCCAAAAGGAACACCTGTACTTGACCATCACTAGTCAAAGGGAACACTGTACTTGACCATCACTAGCCAAAGGGAACACCTATACTTGACCATCACTAGGCAAAGGGTCACCTGTACTTGACCATCACTAGCCAAAGGGTCACCTGCACTTGACATCACTAGCCAAAGGGAACACCTGTACTTGACCATCACTAGCCAAAGGGTCGCCTGCACTTGACCATCACTAGGCAAAGGGTCACCTGTACTTGACCATCACTAGCCAAAGGGTTGCCTACACTTGACATCACTAGCCAAAGGGTCACCTGTACTTGACCATCACTATCCAAAGGGAACACTTGTACTTGACCATCACTAGCCAAAGGGAACACCCGTACTTGACCATCACTAGCCAAAGGGAACACCTGTATTTGACCATCACTAGCCAAAGGGAACACCTGTACTTGTCCATCACTAGCCAAAGGGAACACCTGTACTTGACCATCACTAGCCAAAGAGTACACTTGTTTTTGTTTCTGAGGAGGTCTAGTTTCTGTAAATATGGATACTCCTGAGGGTTTTACTCAACTATCAGAAAACTAGCTGTTGATTTGTTTTTTCATTTTGGACAGACATTTTATAAGCTTCTCTCCTGTCTTTCATATAAGCACTGTTGATAATGTTGCTACTGAACAAATCAGTCTAAATTCTTGGTCAATGTGATGTTTTATACTGTCATATCCTTCAAAGGTGTCACTGTTTTGTTGTTAGGAACTTGATGATGAAAAGTCTAAAGGTCCACATGTTATACGAGTAAGTAAGGTGTCCTGCCTGACTGCCCACCAACCCTCTTCAGTTACATAGCTTGTGGACAGTATATTCTAGCAGTTTAGCAATGTATCAAAGGTTTCTCTGACACATACAACTTTACCATCAGGAATTTCCAAAGTCAGAATCTAGAAATCCATGAAACTCGCCAAGTGCTGTTGGTATTAGTGGAGTAGATACCAAGTAGCCTTTTTAAACAAAGTTTATGTTATTTAGTCAGGCACTGAAATATACATGTAAAATTTTATATAACTTTTGAGTTTTTCAAAAAAAATAAATCAAGAACTAAATTTTTTTTATATATATATATTTTTTTTTTTTTTATTTTCCATCAATGTTAAAGTTTTATTTTGATCACATAGTCGCTAGTTCAGGAATTCACCAGCAGATTTTGTTTTGTCTCTATATGTTGCTTTACTTCATTGATCAGCCATCTCTAAACTCTCATCTATCATTTAAGAAAATGTGTGATTTTATATTAAAACTTTGATGCGTTGCTGAACAAAAATACTGTGTCCTTGTTTATTACCTTTGGACGTTTTTTTTGGACGTTTTTCTGTTTAACATAGATAACTGTTTTACTATAAGGACAATGGTGTCTTACCTGCATGCTGAACTTTACTAACCTGTTTATTATTTCCTAGATCAACATATTGGTATTTGGAAATGACTTCATAATTTTTTTCCTCTTTAAGAAGCTAGCTGCATTGTAACAACAAAATATAGGTATTTGTATTGATTTAACTATAAAGACAAACACCTGTATAGTAAAGTGGTATGTTTATATTAACATCGCATAATTATTATTACTAACAAACCTTGTTAAATTTAAATAATCTATAAGATATTTTATAAAAAAAAAGTGGAGTGAGCTGTTTAACCCATTAAATTTGTTAAGATGGATATTGCATGCTAATAATGTTGAAAGTTTTATAACGAAGGTCACTGGTGGTGTTTGGTGGTGGACCTCTCGTGTTATTCATACATTCATAAATGACATTCATACATCCATTATAGCATGACAACATGCTCAGAAAACATGTGAATTTATTTCATGCATGTGCTTTTAAATATCACCGCTTTTTCATATATTAAAACCTTATATATGCAATATGTTTTTATAAGCGACTACTAATTTGAAATATTTGTAACATTTACAAAGGCCAATTAGAGTATTATGTAATATCTCTTCAGATATGTGAATATTTTCTCTCAGTTGATTGAAAAACTAGACATGATTTTTTCTTTTTCATTCTGTTTTCTTCTTGTGTTTTAGATGATTTCTTATTTATTTTGAACCTTTCAAATGTTACAAAATTATCATTGTTTAGTAGGTCAGATACCATACTTGTTTCAAAGTTTCATGCGACTTACATGCCACATATAGCCGGTAATCATTTCAGGTCTATTAAAAAATAGCAGATCTCAGAGAAGTAATTAATTTTTTGTACTTCTTACAGGAGTCCTTAGATGATGTTGGTACAGACCTCAACGACATGCGAGGTGAACTGCATAAGCTGATGGGTGTGATAGAGACAAAGGACCAGGCCATCGAAACACTGGAAGGACAGCTCAAACACTCAAAAGTAGAGATAGAAAACAGGTGGGTGGAATTCCATTTAAACACACAGAACAGATTTTGTATACATGTATAGGCATACTTCTATAACAAAACCATTAAAAGCAACTAGCTGCTCTACCAGTAGAAGCTAGAATGAACTTAAAGCTCAACTACCTATTTTTTGTGCCTTTATCACAGTGGTAAAAGTTCTCCATCAGAGCAACTGTCTATACTTCTGCATATTCTTGACAAATACTGTAAATCACTTCGATTCAGGGAAAGCTTTATTTACCTTCGCAGACATATTCACAAATATATGTTTGCAAACGCTGACCTTGAAATGACTTTACCAGTAAATTCACAAATTTCGGACTTGTCAGATTTTTTAGAATATAGTTAGAGCCAACCTCACATAGACCTGCTTGTCACTTCACTTTCCTGAACAACCAGAGTTTTCACATCATGTCTATAGAAGGGCATGTTATATAACATCAGGACAGAAACTTTCTCTGATATAATTTACCACCAAAGTTTCTCAAATCACTTAACAAATGACAAATATGTGAAAGTAGCACCTTTAGGTAGGAACTTAGTAATACATGTTGTATGCACGCTATAAAATGGATAAAACTGCATGTACTTTATACAGCTGTTTTCTCCTTCTAGAACGCATTAGTGATCAAAAACATAATCTGTTATATTGTAGAGAAAAAGCTATGAACCAACTCCAGAGTCTCATGTCTCATGTAGATGAGAAACGCAGCATGGAAAATGGAAATCATTCCCCAAGGTACGCAGAAATGAATTAATAGCCTGAGTCATATTGCTTTTATACATATTTTATATGGTTTGAGAATAACATGCTTGGAATAACCTACTTGTACTGGTATAAATTTTCATCAGGACCAACACTAAAGCAGCATGTGACAGGAAGATGATAAAATGGATGTTATGTAGACAGGACAACCACAGAAATCAGGGGTCTTGGGCCTCTTTTGAATATGCTGATTAAGTTAAAAAAGAAAAGATATAATTTAGTATGTGTTTCATCTCAGAGAAAGATATCAAAATGGCTCTATCTTACATTGGATAAGAAAGAAAAAATCTGAATACTATAAATATTTAAAATTTTCATGTTAGTAAATTCTGGTGTTCATCTGTAAATAGTAGCAGAATGAATGTCGTCATTTTATAATGTAATTCAAGGTCATAGTTACATATGAAATTAATATGTGGACAGTTACTCTTCTTGATTAGGCACTCACAGGCATGGGAACAGAATCATAGGCGAATGTAATGCATGTTAAATTAATAGTAACCATTTGAACTGGCTGGCATGTGATGAAATGATTGAATAATTTTTGCTCAGAACTAATGGATATGCTTTTGCATGAGTATACAACCGATATTGATTTGAATTTTACACATTATTTTATTTTCAAAATCTGCACATAAATATTAATATTTTCTTCCATTTTTACTGTTCTAGGAGGAAATCTAGATCACCTGTCAGATCGTCCAAAATCCCGAGGTCAAACAAAAACCATTTTACTTTTCTCTTACCCTTTCCCAATGTCGTCTTTGATGTCTGTCAATAATGGACACATTGTTTCCCTTTAACAAATGGAAATTACATATCAAGTTATGTTGTAGACATTGTATTAAATAATAACATTTCAGTTTAACTTTTTGCAATTTGTACATACTTTAATATACTAGTAACTAGAATAGTTCACATTTCACATTAGAATCAGAGACACAATTATCAATATGTCCTCTACATTTTTATTTATAGATTTTTGTTTTTTCAATAGATTAAATATTGCTTTAATTTCCACTTTTATTTCCAAGCGGCAAAGCTTGTGCTCTATACACAACTACTGAACAAAATTGAATCCGTAGTGAGAGACATCTATGCTTAGGAGATGTTTATTCGCTTTCGTGTTTAAATTGGTAAAAGGATGCTAGCGTTTTGGAAATGATCATGACAATGTGTTCCTTTCAACACTGGATGGCTTCTTAAACAGATTGAATAAGGACCTTGAATGAATTGTCCTCTCTTGTTGCCTGTCCTGGTTGGTGTCAGATTACAGTCTGTCCTTCCCCAAGTCCTTACCTGATTCACAGGTCTGACATAAAAATTCACAACCACTGGGTCTATCAAAGTAACCTCATGATAATGTCCTCTGTACCTCTGGTTACTAATCATTGTCAACACTGCACACACATACTTTTTTCAAAACTGCATTGCTTTGTTTATTCTTGTGTTTTGCTGATTGGTGACAAAGCTTCTCTTGCTGTTGTTGACTTGTTTTATTTCAGCTAGAATAAAAAGCATGTGATTTGTACGAGCTTGAAATGGTTTGCATGTCACTTGTACGACAGAATGTTTATCACTAAGTTAACATTTTCTGAGCATGTACATTTACAAATTTCTCCATATACATGTATTATGTATAGAGTTTGAACTTGTAGTTAAGATTCTTCCCAAATTGAGTGAATGATTTCCTGTGAAAATTGTTTACGTTGACATGATACTGATTCATGAACCTAGAAAATAAGGTTCAAGGAAAAACAAAAAATTTGAACAATCATTTTTTTTTCTGAAATGTTTAAAATTTTTTCCCATACCTTTGAAGAATGATGCACTCATTAGCTATTGATTTAAGTAAAATGCTTTGCTTTTTGTATAGAGATTTGCTCAAGGGCTGTAGCCAAGGCACTTATAGATAAGATGGTAGAATAATGCTTTGATCAGTGGAGACTTGTTGGTAATGCACTTGCACTTCAATATCTATGTTCTCCAACAATTTCAGAATTTTGATATGACCAACTGTTATCGCATTGTTAGTCTTTGTCAACGACTTTTAACTTAGAGAATGATCATGGATAATCTTGGCTTTGATTGGTGAATTTTAATCATTATTGTAGTAATATGTGATATTTTTCGACTTCCTGTTTGTGTACACTTTTTTTTTCTGTCTACAGGAAAACAGATGAAGGTAAAATTCCAGGTATTAATTTGATTTCTTTTGCTGTAAAATAATGGTTTTTTTCATGAAAATTTGAAATACTAATCATATTACATTCCTTGATTTTAAATGAAAATAATTATTTTCCATATAAATGTTTTTGATATGTAATACTCGCTGAGAAATTGACACTACCTTTAAAAGGTTTATATGTGAAATGTTTGTTAATTAAAAATGTGAAAGATATATGCCATTTTATAAATTAACTGTTATTGACATGTGTACTATATAACGTAATTTTCCCAAATCAATGCCAACTTCTCTTCTATGTTTTTTCTTTGAAGCACTCCTGACCATGTGCACCTTGATTAAATACTTCTGATATAACATGCTTACCTGAATCCACAGGTTAAAATCTGGCTTTCGGGTTCAAAACACCTGTTGCCTTCCATTTATATAGTGCCTGTATCTCTATCCACTTATGTTCTGCATTGATAGTGATGTAGGAGGGTGCCGTTTTGAGCCCAGATGTATCAAGTCTGTGTTATCTCATGATTCTTTACACCATTCATGGTATCTTTCTCAATATCCAAGCACGACAAATTATTATTGGTGTTTGATTAAAAATCCCTATACCATGTTGTTATAGCACACATTTCTATAGACTGAGGTAGTATCTTCTAATGTAACCTAAAACTGTTGATTTGTAATAGATTTACAGCTCCTAATGGCCCCTTTAACTTTTTATCTGGTAACAGATCTTTCTATTTAATGTTTAGATATATTCTATGCAGACCTTTCTAACTTACCTTTTCCTAGATTTCATTTTTCAGAAAGGTATTTCAACTATGATTGATTTGTTTGAAGACTCATTTCTCATCAATCAAATATGAAGTATTGGTATGGAACGACATTAGAGAAAATGTTTTAATATGGACAAGTAATAACCATTCAATAAAAAAGATGATCATTATGTCACGTGCTTATGTACATCACATTTGGTGTGAAAATATCATGCTTTATGATGGGTGGAAGATTATTGGGAATGATAAATCTGTGTTTGGTTCTGCTGCTTTTTAAGCTGCTTTTGCTCAGTACTTGTACATTTCTGAATCATTTACATCTACCTTCCTGGAGGAATGGTTTTAGGTTAGTCTTATAAACATGTACCTATTTCCGTGTTTTGATAGACGGAGAACTGACACCTCGTAGTCCTAAGGTAATTGTTAAAAATAGCAAAAGAAAAAAATATATTTATTAATTTGATTTTTGGTTGGGTTTATTTCATTTGTTAAATTTTACAACTTTTGGTAAGAAAGGTTTAGAAGTTTTAAACATCTGATATTTTCATAAAAAAATAATAAGTTACAAAATAATGGCAAAATATCTTGAAAGTCTAATGTTTTAAATGGATTTTTTTGGCAACAAATGAATAACAGTTTTAAGTATGAATTTAGTATTAGAAACAGTTTATGGCAAACAGTGAATGAAAAGACATCAAAGTGGATTTATTTATTAGCACATTCCATAATACTTGTTCGAAATCCTTTTGCAGCCACATATTAAACGTCCAGATTCATTTATGAATTTATTGTCCACGTCATCTTCTGATAAAGATGTTAAGAGTGGAGACCCAGGTATCTCTGTGACACCTGGGCTTTATGGCACACAGTTTCTGGGAACTAGTAAGTACCTTGCTAACCTGCCAATAGTCCGTGTTGGCCCACGTGTGTCGGAATGCTGCCGGTTGAAAATTGCCTGTAGTTTGAAGTGCAGCTTTATCTTACAAATCACCGTTCAAATATAGAATTTTTTTCTAATTGAATACGCAATGGAAATAATTGGATTGAATTCCTGCAACAGAATGAGTTGACATCGTGATTAAAATGTAGTTTTTATCAAATAATTGAGGACATTTTATAGAAGCAAAACATTAGATTCAACTTGTAGAATCTTATTGTAATGCATGTGATCTTCAATATCGAATTGATACGAAAGCTGAAATTTAAGTGGAACCTAAAATATGATCGTTACTTCTGTTACTTTTAAATGTAGATTCTTAAAGAATTTCAGAGTCTTTATTGCCTGCCTGAAATGTCCAGATATCTTTTCATATCACTTCTCTCATACGTAATAAGTTCATTGCTTTTGCCGCATGTTGTAAACAAGATTAGGTTGAACATAACATGCATCATGGCTGCGCCTGCTGTGAATGTTGCATTTCAATTGTTTTGTTCTAATTATAAACATTTCATGTTCATTATAATTAAAATGACATCATATCATGGTCATGATTAATATACAGCCTGGTTTATTACAGTGTAGTTGTGGTATGTAATATGTTTGGTGTTGAAAGTTACGTTTCCTTTGTTTTGTGGTTTGCTGCCATCATTTGTGTATTTATATTGTCATTAGTGCTTTACCATCTTCCTGCTAATACAAAAACATTCGTACAAATTAGTGTTTCTCCTTCCATGTGTTTGAATTTACAAAACAATCGTATTTTACAGAAGTACTTTTTGTGGAGATGATGAATAAAATTTGAAGTTATTTTTTATCATAAACGGCAAATACCTATAGTTATGTTTCTGCTGAAAATAGCATTTTTCCTGAAATCATCAGATTCTCCACAGAAGCCAAATTATCAAGCTAAGAATTTCCCAAAATTAAAAAAAAAAAAAGCTGTATTTGAATCAACAGTATTTTCACCACAGCAAGTGAAGGTATTGATAGTTATATATTAGCTGTCCGTGTTAACAATACATGTAGATAGTTTCTTTCTCTTTATCATATGTTTCTAATAACATCAACAAGATTCAGTTATGCCTCTAAAGTCATAGAAAAATGTATATTTAGTTTTAGAATAATTTTTACTTGAAACTTGAACCCAGAAAGAAGTCTGTAAATTTCTTTGAATTTATTGAGGTTGTGTTGTACTGATCTCAACAGAAAGGTTGTAACTGTATACCAGAACCTTATACATTAGATTGTGGTTTTCTCTGCTATTTAATACCCGTTTATTGTTTACATTTTGGACACTATACTGTGACTATGAATGAATATCTAAGGCGATACCTTACAAATAAATCAGAACACATTTCTTGATTGGGATCCAAAAATCTTCTCAAAGACAATTCGTATATTTGAAAACTCATTTTCAAGAAACTTGTATTTTAGTTTTATAAATCAGATTGACATTGTCACTGATTTTGTTTAAAAGGTAGCATGTCGTTTTCACTGCCATGATGTATGTACCTTATACAGCAGAATTATTTTTTTCGCAAAATAGCAAATAGCAAAATTGCTTAAAGAAATGTTCTATTTTAAAAATATATCTGTGAGACAGCCTTTTATTGCATGTATCATTTTCATTGTTACTGACATACTGTGATATATAAGTCTAGATAGTTATTTAGCGCTGAAAAGTTTTTTAATTTGTATCTGCATGTCCTTTACAGACTGTATATCTATGTACTAGTAGATAATGTATCACACTTGTACATATCCCATAAAGGTATATTAGAGTGTAACGATATCAAGCATAGACATAAGTGGATAGAGAAAAACAGTCCATACTAAGAAATATATCCTTCATTTTCACCATCCAACTTGAGAATAATTTCATAAATTTCTTTCAAAAGTGGCATGTCTTACGTCTGTACACCAACATTGCGGCTATTATATAAAGAAATATGAGTATCTTCTATAACTGAGAAAATTTCAATATTCCCTGTGTAGAACCTCAACGGAGCTCCAGTACAGGACCAGGGGACAACAAGGGAGGGGACCGTCTCCAATCTCTGATATCCAAGTACCGCAGTCATAGTGAGAGTCCATTCCCAGAGCGAAAAATCAAACCGTTGTCATTATCACCGAGCAGTAAAATGGGACTCGTAACAAGAGGACGTAGCTTCGGACCAGCTGCTCCTAAATCCTCCGATGAGGTGAGTCCCTCTCCCGATACCACCAAGGATGTGGCCAGTACACATGGCATTGGTTTGACAAGTTCCCTAAAACTTCCTAAGGTTATGGTCGAAGCCCCACAGGGAAATGAAACTGTATCTCCAAGTAGTTCTGTCAATCTATCCACAGACCTTGATCAAAGTGAACACAAAGATCAAGGTCAAATTCGCAAGAAAAAGAAAAAAAGGAGAGACCGACAGAGTGAGGGTGATGTGGACGATTTCTTACCTGATGGAGACATGCCTATTGATGAGGATGATCTTGATACACAGGAACAAGATGACATCAACGCCCTTATTAAAAAGTAAGTTCACCAATAATATGGATGATTGTGTTCTGTTCTGGATAAGATAAATAAAAAAAATTGTCAAGTATTAAAATTTATATGTGTGTATATATATATGCGTTTTTACACTGCACATGTTTTGTCATCACATCACCCTTACTGGTAATACTTACTGTTATATTCATTACTTTTCCAACCGTGAATCCATCCCTGACTCAGCTTCTGACACGTAGTTCACAGCTCGTAACAATCTATTATGCCACAGTGTGTCCAGAGTGGTTGTCAACACCTTAAATTGTTTCCTTGTATAGTCATACCTGTGTGAAATGTAGGCATTCTAATTACGATCAAGGTTATTTTAGGTAGATTTTAGTTTTCAGAACTTATCTTGACTAGAAGATTTAGAGTTGCTACATTGTTTTAGAGGTTACACATTGCGATACTCCGCAAGTCTCATTAATACATTGCATGGTGTGACAATTGTATATTCCCTGCTAGATTTTGATATTGTCTAGCTGTAGTGTTTTTTTATTTGTTTTTTTCAAATTGTGCTCGTTATTAATCCTTGCAGCCATTGTAATAATCGTGCATTTGAATGTTGTGGAAATGACAAAAGAGACTTTTTATAAGATATTTTGTAAATGTTCTCACAAATAATCTTCAAACACTCAAGGTAAGTTGTAGGAAATTCAGTATACTGTTGATTTTTTTCAATTCTTTGCAGAAGTAATCATTGACATGCTTGATATAAAATGATCTATAAACTTTTTCACAAAAATGGTTTCGGTCTGATCCAGCCTTGTATCCTACAAACATATGCTATTCAACAGCCTAAATTTCTATGTAACATCACATTCTCTCATTAATGAACTATTTAACATCATCTTTATGTCCAGAAACAGAAAACCATGCACCCATTATTAACATTACAGTATATAAATGCCTCATCATTTACACAAGAGGAGATAATATTAGCATGAGTAATGAATGAGAAACGTAATGTAAATCCAGCCGATGTACTCATGTATATTTTTAGATAAACCTTATTTTAATGAACTCATGTCTTAGAAATATGTTAATACACAGACAAATCTGTGTTCACTTCATTTTATAGCTAGCTAACTTTCATTTAATCAGTTACATAAATACAAGCAATTATGAAGCATTGTTCATGTCAGGTTAGATCTAACATTCTAACTAAAACATATATTTAATAAATCATATTATAATCAAATCAACTACTTATTTTTTGTATAAATAAATATATTTATATCAATATATAAGAGAATTAGAAGCATTATGTCCGTCTCTTGTAAATCATATTTAATCTTACATTTTTGTTCGGTAAGTGCCATACGTTTAAAATCAATTTTTATAGTTAATTTTCATTTTCTATGTTAATTTTATATAAGTATAAAATTACATATATTTTGACACGTGTAAATAGGGTGCATGGTTGGAATATTATGCACGCGTGGATTGTTTTGTTCCCAGTAAATGTGCGGAGAACCATTCCCTGCCACCCTGTTGAGTTAACCCTCTAACTGTGGTCTGTATTCGTTCCTCTGCAGTTGCTATAGATCACATTTGTTATTCCTTGTGACACTACGCAGGCAGCGTGGAGCTTCTGGGCAAGCGCGCCCGGGAGGTAAGATGTAGGTATCTCATGCTCCTCCTCCTCCAAATTATAACAATCAAGAACTTCTCCTTTCTTTCTCCCCCCAAGTTCTCAGCCTCAAATTACTGTGTTTCTACACTATCAAAATTACAAAACGATCACTGTTTACGTAATATCAGTCCGAGTACTTCCTTAAATAAAATAACAATGGAACTTATCAGTTTACATTTTAATTGATCAATCATATATCCTTTAATTCAGTCAGGTTACAAAAATGAGCAATGATGCACCTTGCATGCCACATTTGAATTGATTTGTTCTTCTGAAATTATTACATATGACAATAACTAAATGTACTGATTTATGGGGCTAAAGCACCTTCATATCTAAATTGTTGCATTTCTTCTATCACATTGAATTTTTTCCTCAGTAGCCTCCTAGGTTTCAATAATAAGACGCTTAACAACACTGAAGAATCATAGCAGGACGAAACAACAGTATGATGCAGATTAATTCATTATTTGGCAATACTGTGTCTAATATTTAAATTGTATTTAACAGGTGCTACTCATTTTTATGTCTTTTGTACAATCTTTCAGAGATAAAACTATAGCAGATTTAGCTTACTAGTGACTACTGCAATAAATAAAGCTGTATACAGAAATCACACAAGTGACCTTGTAAACGATGATTCATTTGTGATAACAATAGAAAGTGACCTTGTAAACAACGATTCATTTGTGATAACAATAGAAAGTGACCTTGTAAACAATGACTCTGTTGTGATAACAATAGAAAATGACCTTGTAAACAATGACTGCTGCAATAACAATAGACAGATATCACTTTTATTTACTCATAATTTCAAACCTTTTAAATAAGCCTTTAATATTAAATGTGTGTTTTTTATATCATACAATTTATTGGGAAACAAAGTCTTGCAGTAAATTGTATCAATGGTAAAATCATGGTTAGATTTGTATTCAACAAAAATGATTTCACTGAGTTTGTAGAAACACAGTAAATTACATTATATGTACATATGTACCCAAAATTGTATCAGAAATTATGTTAATCACTATAGAAGAACACACACAATTTTTTTAGAATTGCCACACAAAATTTAAGATATAAACACGTAGATAATATTTTACTTATGTTCCCCCTTTTAGACTAATGCTTATTATCCTTCCTTAATAATCTCACTCTTGTATAATCTGTTTATCTCAGAATATAACAACAACACCTGCATAGTCACTCCAAATATAGCCAGTGTATTTCCCCGTGTAGTCCAGCATCTATTTATTTGTGACAAATGGATAGAGTTATGCTAGGGCTTTAGATCTGTGGCTTTGCATTAGTATATTGGTATATCAATGTTATGTTACTGAGACACATCTAAAGATATTAAAAAAATGGAAATGCAAACATTTTGCTCATATCGTACATGTAAGCATACATTACCACAACTTGTTATTTTCAAATTCGTATCCGTAATTCCTTTTTACGATGCTTACATGAATCAATATGCTATTTTTAGTACTGAGTACTGAGGAATTTGACTTTGTGTTCACTCAGAAATTGTAACAACACATTTCAAATTTCACAATTGTCAGAAAGGAGAAGATAATCTTGATTTTGTTTTTGGAAATAATATTTTGAAAGATTTGTGTGTTGCGATTGTATAATGAAAAGCTGATATTCTAGATGTTATGGCTTAGCTGAGGATTGTTAATTACTAATATGCCTGCAGGGTGATTTGTCACTTTACTTATGTTCTCTGTGGTGATGAATTTACGCTGTGAAATTTTCCCAATGCACCAGCAGATGGTGTGTTAATACAGCAAAATGTGTCTCAGCATTGCTTTATGATTGAATAATGTGGACTTAAAATCAACTCATTTGCTAATCTCTTTTCCCTTCGGAATTGTGAAACTTTCAATGTTTACTGTTCTTTTGTACGCTATATATTGGAATATTTACTTTTCTCTCCGTTAGGTAATTCTCTGTAGGTCTAGTTAGATTAGTCATTTATGACTGTTGTAAACATCATATAAAATTCAAACATTTAACAGACTCAGGTCTTAGCACCTCTTCTTATAATGTAATTAGGTATAATATAGTGCTCCGTAACGGTATTTAATATAAAGTTTATACACTTACAGTGGTAGGGATATGTGATGGAGATTTGCTCTATTAATCAGTAAAATTTTCTTCTTTTTTGTAACATTAATTAGATATTAAAACATATGCTAATCTGTATCTGTGTGGAAATCTTTTGTATTGTAGCAAAAAGATCATAGACTGTAGGTAGTTTGTCTGCTAGGCTGTTCATGTTATCCACTTCTTCCTTTTCCATTCCTTGCTGTGTAGACAATATAAACATATTTCTATTCCTTGCTGCGTAGACAATGTAAACATATTTCTATTCCTTGCTGCGTAGACAATATAAACATATTTCTATTCCTTGCTGCGTAGACAATATAAACATATTTCCGTTGCTTCTGTGTAGCATATGGGGTATGGATTTACACTGGAAACAAACTGTTCTGTGTTTTTTTTTCACATTTACAGATCTCTCTCTCTCTCTCTATAAGTAATGATAATTAGTTTACACTGGAAATGAAGTTCCTCCTTTTTATCAAGTGTCAAACATTTACAGGTATATTTCTGTATAAAAGATGACAGAATTTTCCCCAATATTGCTGAATATTGTCTATAGATTATTATCAAAACATATTATCATGGTTCTGGTCTAGAACATACTATTTCGTTTCAGAAATCAAGAATGGATGATTTTGTAAAATGCACTGCTTAATGCATAATAGGTGATATGTTAGATGTTAGCCAATAGTAACACGTTGTTACGTTCTAACTGGTGCTTTAATCATAGTGTCAGAGGTTTGGCAAACAGTTGCATGAATCAAATGTCTAACACTGATGGTTTTTATGATTTTGTCTTTTTTTCTGCAACATAATCAGTGCATGGATGCTTAAACAAAGTTGTGCTTATCAATTTTTAAAGATTTGTTGTGTTGCATTCAAATATTTTATAAAAATGATATTTGTGCTTCATC